TTTGCTCTTCCTGTCCAGGACAATGGCGCCACTGTGGTTCACAGAAGAAGAGCTCCAACGCAACCTGATGTGAATCTACACAAGATTTCTCTCCCACACACTAAACAGGTTTATTTGGATACACCTGGACTTTCTGATTAAAAGAGAAACACTTAACTATATTGGAATGAGTTGCAAAGCATTCTCACCCTTAGATTAAAAGGCAATGTGAGTCCTACTCTTACCTATTGATGAAAGAATATCTGTTCTTTATTTTTAGCAGTGACACAAAATAGTCCTTCGCATCTATGAGAAAAGAAACACAAAAGCTAATAAACAATGCTATGCTATACTAGCTTTACATATTACAGCTTGATACACATTTTAAAGCTTTCCCCCAACATTTTGATGGAAGAGTTTAACATTTTGAGAAACATGCTCAATCAAATTCTCTCTGAGAGTTGGATGATAATAAATATATACTGACATAACCAAGGCTAACTGTCTCCAGCCCTTATGCTAAGCTAATCCTGCTGGATTTAGATTCAGCTTTAGTATACAGACATTGAAAGAAAGCTAGTAGGCATAATAGTCTCAAACTATTCTTGAAATGTGTTCAAGATACACTTGGTATACACACTGCATAGTCAACATGATTTTTTTATTTGTCTGTTGAGCTGAATTACTTACTGGTTTCAGCAACAAAACACCACGTTAAAACATTTCAATTTCATTCAAATGTCTTTCCTTCCTAAAGGGGATGAGTGTTTAGCATTTTGTCATTGTGTGTGTTTGTGTTGCTGATCCTGTCTCTGTTCCCACATCCCTGCCTGTCCACCATATCAAAGGGCCAGGAGTCGTCACCTCCATCTGAAGAAGATAACACCTCAGATACTTGACTCTGCAAAGGCAGGTCATAAAACACACACACACAAACCCCACTATAGGCAGACTGACTGGCCTGCAGGGGATGGGAACACACACACACACACACACACACACACACACACACACACACACACACACACACACACACACACACACACACACAGTGTGGTACATTAAGCAGGTCACCAGGCTAAAGGTTTCACTACCGGAATCTAACCTTTCAGGCCAAAATAGTTGCAATTCAAGATTTCAATCCCATTTATCATCAAAATATTCTAGCTAATAACTAGGACTTCATGATTAGGAACACATAACTAGTTGCGATTACGATGTTGGAGGGATTAAGCATTATTGCATCATAATTCTTATTGTTAATGATTAAAAAAGTGTTATTGAGTCTGTAAGAGGCTATTTTAGACCAGGATACCTCTGCAGCTCCACAATACTTCATTCATAATGACACATATTTACAACATGTTGTGCTTTTTTTGTGCAACCTTAACTACATTTCAGGGATTCCAGTATGTATAAATTAGGAAATATCTTTTCGGACAAACTTTTTTTTTTCACAAATACTTTTCAGAGAAAAACAATCAATTACACAACCCGAAATGAGGTTACACATTATAATGGCCCCATGCACAAAAAATGATAAATACATTCAAATAAAAAGAAGTACTCTTATTTTGACACTACTCTAACATGACAGCAAGCAATACAGCTTGTTTTAAGTCACTCCGGAATTCACCATGATCAATTTATTTTTAGTTTTCTTTACGATCTATGATTTAATTTTATTTTAGAGATCATGAAAATGTTCTCTGAAATTTGACCAGCACTTAATTTGGGTGCACACAGCATTACAAATGTATGAACATTTAAAAATAAATAAAACCTCCAACTTATTAACACATTGACAAACACTATGATATGTCTGCCTCGTGATAGCAGTAATGCAATCCTGATGACTTCATTAAAAGCTCTCCGAGTACCAAAATGTCTCAGCAGCTTACTGTCGTGTATTTAATTTTAGCAACATCACTTAAGTTGAAGCACTGAAGTAGAAAGATGACATATTTATTTTAATGGAAGGGTGATGTTGTTTTTACAGTCGCTGGGAATTGTTTTGGGTTTTTCTGTTGTTTTTCATTTACATCAGGAATTCAACTCTCCCGGCCAAGTGGCTCATTCATTTGAAGCAAGCGGACCAATTTACCATCTCATTTCTTTTTGTTTCGTGCGCTACATTCCTGCTATGCGTACGACAAGTGACGAAATAAAACAGGAATTTTCATGAGTTTCAGCGAAAGCTGAGTGGCGTGGCCTGGAGAGGGAAGTCACACACAGGAATACAACGAGTGTTCAGGAGGGAATGTGTGCCAGATTACTGTAAGTAAAATACAAAGTCTGTAAACTCCAAATGAGTAATAAATGTGTATGGACAAAGAAGGACCTATTTTCTCCACACACATACACACAGGACACCCACTCTGCAATTATGCCTATTGTGTTCTCTTCCTGTTGTAAAGAAAACTTCCACGTCTTAGTCATGTTGTTGAGCTCCAATCTGCTGACCGCTTGTCAGCTCTGTCTGGCCTTATGTGCTTATGTACACATATAGATACACACATACACACAGCTTTTTGGATAAAATCCTTGTATCAAAACACTTTAAGGAATGTTTAAATGTGTTTCATAGGCCTTGAGATAGTGAGACTTTCTCTGCCTTTACAGGAAAAGGTTGGATTTTTCTTTAAATGGACAGTAAACATGTCTATTTTCACCGGAGTTGAGTCTTTCCCCTTGACTCTGCATTCCCATTCACAAGGGGCTGCGGAGACTTTTGAGGAGGTGTTTTGCTGCCTTGTGTTATGTTATGAGATCCTATCAGTGGCGACAGACACAATAAGGGTGGCTCCGTGGAGGAAAGCTGGGAAAATACAGGAAGTGTGTGTTGTGAGGACAGGAAGTCACACTGTTGTTGTTTGTGAGGGCCACTAGAGAGCTGGCAGCTGTCAGTCCTCTGATAGCAGGGCTCGGAGGGTTACTTGAAAATGTAAGGAGTAACCGTATGCAAGTATCACAATAATAAAGTGTGTTATTACTTTCTGTTACTTGACGATAAACCCAATCGTAAATCTGGAAATAAAGACGAGCAAAGAAAAACTTGCCGTATTTTAACCTTCCGTAGCACTATATTAAAGGGACCCTATTATGCTTTTTGGGGCCTTCCCTTTCCTGTATTGTTATATAGGTTTTTGTGCATGTAAATGGTCTGCAGAGGCTAAAATCCCAAAGTTCCCTTCAGAGGGAGTTTCTCTCCCGCACACTCCCCCCCTGCCTGAAACGCCTGCATTGGACTTCTTTGTTTACTTCTGTAACTAAATGACATCACCATGTAACACCTGTGCTTCTATTGGCTAGTGCTTTAACACATTGTACATGATAGGCTAAGGGGCGAGACATCTCTTAGCGGTTGACCAATCACAACAGAGCCGTCCAGCAAACCAATCAGAGCAGACTGGGCTCTGGTTTCAGACAGAGGGTGAAAAGAGGTGCTGCAGCACAGGCAGTATGAGAAAAATAAAGAGCTTTTTGAAGGTTAAAGCATGGAAAAACGTACCAGTAGAGGCACAAAAATACAAATATGAATCTGAAAATGAGCATAACAGGGCCTCAAATTCTTAAGAATTGTATCGATAATCTGATAAACCTGTCTCAACGTGTGCGAGAGGTAGTATTGTAAGGGTGCTACCTTGGGGATAAAACTGTCATCAGTCTGAATACATGAGGGATTTGTGAGTGAATCTGAATTCCTGCTTTCATACAATCCTCAAAAAATAGACCTCACTTAACAATGACACATAACCGCCCGCACATGCACACACACTTTTCACTCTTGTGTCCCAACTACAATTAGCACCCTTCATTCCGGGAATGCTCCCCAACCCTTAGCACGAAGTGATGTCATCAACCCTTTTTAAAATCAACATGCGTTTGTGGTGTTGTTATGTGTGCCAGAGTTTCCGTTAGAAAATGTTTTTGCCGGTCAACATGTCCGTTTAAGTTTAAATCTTCCGGTCAAAGGTCTTCTTTGTTATGTATTGAGCTTTAAAACAAATTGATATGATTCAATATTAAACAAACTAATTATAGTAGATTAACTACATTATTCTAAAGTGTACAGTAATTTGCAATAACACGGGAATAATAAACGAAGCGCTCTCTCCCTCTCCTGACAGCCCGTCAGTCTCATGCAGCTCGCGGATCCAGTAATGAGTGACCCGACAGTAAAACTAAACATATCTATAACTTTTAGGTAGTTTGAGAGGTAATTAAAATAGCTACGTGTGATATTCTAACCTGAAGTGTGTGTTTTGTTCCGCTCACCGCTGCAGATGATCATGCAGAGCTGCGTGTCGACTCGTCAGCAGCAGCTGATCTCTCTCTCCCGTCAGATTAGACTTGTGTTTATGTCCATATTGATCAGACCTAGCTAGTTCTAGCTAATGATAGGACTACCTGCTTAAGACACCTAAACAATAAGCGATGCTATGCAACCGGGTGAGGCCGTAAAGTATAGTGCAGCATTATGCATTTGTTTACATGCCCACCGGAACCCTGAGGCATTACCAACAGATCAACGCACAATCAACCCATACAGGACATCTCTTTCTCCACATTAAGTGTTAGACATTAGAATGTACTCTTCTCTTCTGTCACATACTCTTTTGTCTGTCACATAAGTGGCGCAACTGTTGCAGTATTGTGCTAAGGGAAAATTATTTTGACCGGACATTTTGACCGGAGAGATTTAGATTTGCTGGTCTTCAGCATATTTTACCGGTCAAAGTCCGGTAATTACCGGTTAGCGGAAACTCTGATGTGTGCGTATACATTCCAGTAATTACCACTATTGTCTTACACTGCTTTGGTATGCGTTTGAAACTACGTGGGTGAGCGCTTAAATCACAAGTAACATACCATGGTTGTACTCAGCATGTATGTATGTTAACGTGTAATAATTGTGTGTGTGTGTGTGTGTGTGTGTGTGTGTGTGTGTGTGTGTGTGTGTGTGTGTGTGTGTGTGTGTGTGTGTGTGTGTGTGTGTGTGTGTGTGTGTCTGTGTGTACCTGTGCTGAGCAGAGATGCTGGTACATTACAGATGAAGTCACAGGCAGAATCTCGGACATCCTCGTCTTCATCCTGCAGCAGCGTGAACAGACTCCTCCACAGAGAAACTGTTGTGGTCAGACCTGACACACACCCACACACACATATGCAAAATTGAAACCTTGCATTGCAGATCCACAAAATCTATTATTTGCCTTTATAAGGGTTCAACAAATGAAATGTATGTACATGTTTTTTACTTTATCCTTTTAAAATTGCAGTATACATCTTGCCTGACTGAGGTAAATATCTCATCACGTGGTTTACATTTTGAGACTCACCAAGGGGCAGATGGGAGCTGGTCAGCACAGTGGCCGTACAGTTGACCAACACCTTGGCGGCCATTAGCTTCACCTCCACTGGCTGCTCCTCGCTGCAGCATGCGCACACCAGCGCCCCCCATTGACCTAAACAAGCCACTGCACTTGCACCCTAGATGACAAATGAATTAAATAAAGCATTTAATTAAAGTTTACAGAGGAATTCTTATTAATCAGTTCATTAACTAATGTCACTTCAGTTGCATAGAAGAGTATCCATTAAATGTCTTGTAGTAGGGTCATTACATCGTATGTTAAGCTAGCGGAAACAGTCCACACAAAACAGCATTGGACTGAGGTAATAATCAACATATTTTTCTAGTGCATTTGTGAATTGTGATAGGAAGCAAAGGCTGCTAGAACATTTATCTTTAACAGGTGAGAGATTACGAGTACAGTCCGTCTTTACCTGAGGGTTAGAGCTCACCAGTTGTACCACAAGTCGAGAGACCAGTGTCAGAGCAGCACAGTGGAGCTCCACACTGAAACACAAAATCAACACCTGATACCAGCTCCCAAATGACTAATAATAACTATATATATATATATATATATATATATATATATAAATGAAAATGAACATGTATATCTCTCTCTGTCTCTGTCTTTGTATTTTCTGATCAAATTCAGATTATTATTATGAACACTCGTGAGTGTTGTGCAAACTCTGACACAACTTCATAAGATCTGTATCAACCCTCAGCGTCTCATCGGCGGACCGTCACACGGGAACCACATACTATTCAATGGCTCAAGAACGCCAGTGAGAACAGCCTGATGAAGNGACACGTCTGTGAACAGTGACTTTTGATACCTGGACTCCAGCTTCAGTCCACTGTCTTTGAAGCTCCCCCAAATTCTGGAAGCGACTCTTCTTCACAATGCTGTTAAGGCTGCGGTCATCTCTCTTGGTTGTGCAGCGTTTCCTGCCACATTTCCCCCTTCCAACAGACTTTTTGTGGATGTGCTTTGAAACTGCACTCTGTGAACAGCTTGCTCTTTGAGAAATTTATTTTTGTGTCTTACCCTCCTGATGGAGGGTGTCAATGACGGTCCTCTGGACAGCAGTCAGATCAGTAGTCTTCCCCATACTTGTGATTTAGTTTACTGAACCAAGCTGAGTGTTTTTCAAGGCTCAGGAAACCCTTGCAGGTGTTTCGAGTTAATTAGACGATTCAAGTGATTCGTTGAACACCCTACTAGTATACTTTTTCATGATATTCTAATATTTAGAGATAGGATATTTGAGTTTTCTTAAGCTGTATGCCATAATAAAAGGCTTGCAATATTTCAGTTGATTTGTAATGAATCCAGAATGTATGACATTTTTGTTTTTTTAATTGCATTACAGAAAATAAAGAACTTTATCACAATATTCTAATTTTCTGAGACAGTCCTGTATATATAAACTGAAGGGGGTTCCTGCAAAATAGTCTATTAGGAAGCAGGCAAGCTCCGGCTCTGAAAAGTGATGCCAATCTGTAAGTGCCTTAAACTGCTAACTTTATATTGAATAGCAAGGGGCCATTTCACCAATTGCGGAAAGGAGTCTAATTGTATAGAATTCTATGAGAAAATGACCCTACATCTAACTTGATTAAATACCCCATGAAACATTTTCCTGATGACTTTATGGTCTCATTGATTTATTTCAAGTCTTTTTCAATACAGCATAATGTTTATTTTGTAGATCATTTGGAGTCAAATAGATAATAATGCTGGGTATGCAAGTTTAGAGTGTGGCTAGGTGGTGATAGAAGAGGTCACTACAACTGCATCACTACCAAAGCTTTGTTCACCGTTGTACTAAAAGACACTCTAAGGAGTCTGGTGTACTTTTCTTTTGGTAAGTATATTTATTCTAAAGCATATAGCTAAAAAAACGAGGGTAACAATTGATTTTGGGCTGTTTGGAAGTACAGTGTGTTTTTCTTGTGTTTTTGTTTTTTTAGCACTTTGGTGAACTAACCCTTTAATTTTATATTGGTGCAGTGAGAGGGTCTGAAATTAAAATGTTCTCCACGGGACGTTCTGTAAAAAAGGTTACGCACATTAAACACAGCGGCACCGTCAACTACACACACATCACTCAACTGTATTGAATTACAACCCACAAAAGAAGTGTGCTGGTGCTCACCACTACATTATGGATCACAATACCCAGAGTGCCATTCAACCACATGGCAGACAAGGGTAGCCAGCAACCCAATCTCGTCCTTCCCCGGCTCTAATCATAACCCTGGGGCCGCTCCAAAGGGAAAGTGGATCCTCGGGTCCAGAGATTGTGGCCAGGAAAATACTTTACAGGGCTAAAAGCCTTTGTAATCCAATCCTCATTCAAGCCTGTATTCTCTTGTTGGGGTGAGAAAAGTACAGCGGTGGCTTGTCAAGGAAGGTGTGTGTGTCTGTCAATGCTTGTCAAAGGGCTTACAGTGTAAGCAGTAGCACACACACACAAACACTGGGATAGTCTTTGCCAAATCACTTTGTGGTAAGAGGGGCCCAAAGTTTCTCATAAACTCTCGCAAAAGTACTGGTTGGAGCCTGACAGGTGTGAATAATCTAATGTAGGAATAATGCAGTAATGACGGCCTTTGAGAGCACAAATATCAGCTTTCATCTGCGTTTTCTACATTTTAAAACCACCAATCTCTGTTGCTTGTGGACAATTCGGTAACCTAAATACTGCAACGATACACAAAGACCCATGAAGAAAGGGGCCAGGAACTCCAGGTGTGCCCAGGTGCAGCCAGTGAACCTGTGAGCCCCTCCTCCATGGACTCTGGCTCTGAATGAAGGCTTGACAGCCAGGGTTCTTTCACAAATGGATGTTGCCAGAAAAAACAGGAACATGGAGAAGGAGTGTGTGGTTTCATTTTAACATGTACTCCCTTCATGTCACTTCAATCCATCACAGCTAAAGGCTGGCCTGGGATGATCCAGGGACTGTTTTCGACAGCTAGTGTTCAGGAGGTGGCAAAGTGTTTTGGAGTAACAACGTTGCTTCCCTTTTTCTGCACTTATCTTGAAATTAATTGATGATTCAAGCATTGGCTTGTTATATATTCCAAGGCATTCCATCAGGTCTCTGTGGAGCGATGAGGAGTCTCTATAGTAGACCATTTCGGTTTTTCAGTTAATTGTCACAAAAGTGTTTTTGATGGATTGCCTTGCAGTTTGCTAAAGGTAACCATTGTCCTCAACTTTCCATTTGGGCAAACATCACCACCATGCATTTGTTCCTCACACCTGCAAAACTAATGACACCTCCTGGGCAGAAAAGCTGAGGTGTCTTCAATGTCCATGACACATTTGAAATACAATTTTGCAGTGCTGTGAAACACTGTTTTATTTAAGTGCTTATTCCTGACTCACCTTGGTTGTTTTATTGGTTGTAAAAAGGTGAACAGAATGGGGAAAAAAGGTGATTTAAGTGACTTTGAACGTGGCATGGTTGGAGTATTTCAGAAACCGCTGATTTACTGGGATTTTCACGCACAACCGCACAAACCTAGGGTTCACAGACAATGGTCCGAAAAAGAGAAAATATCCAGAGAGCGGCAGTTCTCTGGGCGAAATGCCTTGTTGGTGCCAGAGGTCAGAGGAGAATGGCCAGACTGGTTTAAGAAGATAGAAAGGCAACAATAACCCAAAAAAACACTAGTTAGAACCAAGGTATGCAGAAGATCATCTCTGAACACACAACACGTGGAAACTTGAAGCAGAGGGGCTACAGCAGAGAAGACCACACCGGGGGCCACTCCTGTCAGCTAGGAGCAGGAAACTGAGGCTACAATTTGCTCAGGCTCACTATAATTTGACAATAGAAGATTGGAAAAATGTTGCCTGGTCTGATGAGTATCGATTTCTGCTGCGTCAGAATTTGCCGTAAACAACATGGATCCATCCTGCCTTGTATCAACGGTTCAGTCTGGTGGTGGTGGTTAATGGTTTGGGGGATATATTTTCTTGGCATACTTTGGGCCCCTTGGTACCAATTGAGCATTGTTTAAAAACCATAGCCTATCTGAGTATTATTTCTGACCACATTGTATGCATCCTCTGATGGCTACATCCAGCAGGATGCCGTGTCAAAAAGCTAAAATCATCTCAAACTGGTTTCTTGAACATGACAATGAGTTCACTGAACTCAAATGATCACCAGATCTCAATCCTATAGAGCACCTTTGGGATGTGGTGGAACGGGAGATTGGCATCATGGATGTGCAGCCGACAAATCAGCAGCAGCTGCGTGATGCCATCATGTCAAAATGGACCAACATCCCTGAGGAATGTTTCCAGCACCATGAAGGCAGTTCTGAAGGCAAAAGGGGGTCCAACTCGGTACTAGCAAGCTGTACCTAATAAAGTGGCTGGTGAGTGTAGATGTCTGATTGTATAGAAGTCTATGAGAAAACTACCATACTTCTCACCTTTATTACCTCAGTACAGATTGTTATAAGGAGGTTTTGGTACCAATGGCTAGTGTTAAGTCTCCTTCGATAAATCGTAATGATCATATAGTAAATTGGTCCCATTTTGAGTTAAATTGATGACAAAGAAGGATATGCTTCAGAGACAGGCTTCCTTGTGATTAGCAAGTCCAGAAATCTGGGTCATCATAGACAGCGATCTAAACTTCAAAAGCCATATTAATCATCTCACAAGATCAGCTTTCTCAAATCATACTCTGAGAAATGAATGAAATTATCTATTAAAGGCAGACTACACTAATGCAATGGTCTGTATTCACCAGCATCCCAATCTCAGCTGTGCTAATTCTAAATGCTTCTGCAAGTGTTTCTCCTGGAAGTAAAACCTATAAGCACATTACACGTGAATTCCGCAATCCTTCCCTATCAAATTAAGGATTGGTTGTAACATTCTGCTACTTTCTCCTTCTGTATTTATGCCCTGGTTAGAAGGTATTTAGACCTTTAAAAGCAGTTTTAAAGCAATGCTCTTTCAAAGTGTCTTCATGTGTGGGTAAGGGTGTGTATTTCTGTGAACTGGTGGAAGTGTGTCTTTTTTCCTCTTGTACATTCTGCACTTGTTTTATTATTATATGTCAATTTCATATAAAGCACAGTGAGTTGCATGCTTTATAAATAAGGTTGAATTGGTTAGACTTTTGGGGGGGGGTGGGGGGGGGGAGTCATTACAAGCATCATATTCTTTAAAATAAATATAAGTCAGAAGTGTGTGTGCGCAGTTTCCAATGCTTTGAATGTTCGCTATGTGAACTCTAGCTGCTGGAATAAGGCAATAACTGTCTAATCCTTTGGCCCAAACAGAGGAAACATCAGGATTATTTGTACATGGACATTTGTATATGTGTCTTCTCTCACCTGTGAGTGGAGTTCTGAGCCAGAGCAAGAAGGTGCAGCAGGAGCTCCTCCTGGGACAACATCTTAACACCATCCGACCATGGGAGCTCAGTGGTGGTGCTCAACACACACAACACAGAGAGGACCTGAGAGGAGGAAAGAGACAAAGAGACTGTCAAAAGGAGTAAGAAGATATTAATGCAATCACTGTTTTTCACCTCCATCCCACACACACGCAGAGCTACTGGTGAGGGAAGTTGCTCAGGGCCATCCATGAACACAGCTTTGGTGTCCTCTCTGCAGCGTGGCTGGCAAGTTGCCCTGGAGGGTATTTTTACACACCGGTCAGATCCTCCCTACGCACACCCTAACCACGGGTACACAGCTGCCTCGCTCTCTCTTTCACACACACTGCAACACAAACACATGCATGAAGATGGGTGCAAAAGCACATGGGTGTCTGTGAAGATGTACAGCATAGCAAGTGAGCTTTCATTTATATCTCCATCGATCATTGAGGGAATAATCTAGGCCTCGTCTTTTGTTGACACCATTCAGTTTAAAGGGCCCCATTATAGTTATTTCCAGGTGTATGTCAGTATGTTGTGCCTCTGCTGTGACATGTCTCCATCCTTTAATGGTCAACAAGTGCTTCATTTCTCTCATACCTCATGCCTGTGCTGCAGCACCTCTTTTCACCCTTTGTTTGAAACCAGAGCCCAGTCTGTTCTGATTACAAGTGTTACATAGTGATGTCATTATGTCCAGGGAAGTAAATACGGAAGTATATAAGTATATATATATATATATATATACCTATAGAATACACAAAATAAAATATATTACATTTGTGATGCATACCAGGACAAGAAATGTAAGCATTCGATAAAAGCAGGTTTAAAATGATTGTTTCATTTTGTTAACTTATTAGAGTCAACCGTAATGAGGGATGTTTGGTTCTAGGGTTTGGATATATCTCTGTGTCGCTCTTTTTCATTCGAAAATATGATCAACAGCCGAATTAACATTTCTTTTTTTATGTTTTTATGAATAACATGTTCTATAAATCTGGCTGTGAATGATATATGTGACGACCCCTCCATTCCACGTGAGGTGCCGTCTGTTTGTTTGTGGTTGTGTGGGTGTTCGCAGGTACAGGTGCTAATGAGCCGCACCTGTGGGCGTATGCCTACCTAATGAGCTACACCTGGTGAAGCGGGATAAAGGAGGAGCCCAGCCGGTTGCGTCGCTCTCACTCCTCTGGGCATTCTCTCCGTGCCAGCCTCGGGGACTTGTGGCCGGTTTTTGCAATATTATTGTTTTTTGAGAATAAACAACTGTTATATTCTTATCCCTCGTCTCGTCTTCCCTGCTTTTTGTTGCAGCCCAGGAGCCGGGTTGTAACATAAACAAACAAACTTCTCACAATATAAAAACCACTGTAACATTCCATACATTTTGCAATGCTTCACAGATGATTAAGGATGTCTTAAAAGTAATACATATCATCAGGAAACTTCATTACTTATAGAAAGACCATTTGATAGGAAGTTTTCTGTAAAAACATGCACATGAGAAATGATGTAAGTTTGGATGAATGTATGAGGAATCTGCAGACACAAGTGAAGTAAACATCTAAATGTCATCATTTGAATGTTTTATTTCCACGAGTCTGAAAGAAAACATGTTATGAAAGCAAAACAGCCCAAACTCTCAAAAACTGACCAATGCATGAAAATGATTTGTTTGCCTGGAGTGTCACACGTTTACCTCCTTAACTCAATGTTCTGCTTCCTTCACTCCTCACTGCCCACCCCCCCCCTCCTCTCCATCCTCTCCATGCTCCGTCACTCCTTCAGAGAGCGAGGCAGCTGACCGAGTCAGAGGAGGAAAAGTCGAGTTTTCCACCGCGTGAGACCCCGTTAAAAACACACATCCAGCCGAGAACACATGTTGACATTCCTGCTGCATATCTCAATGATTATTATTTCTTTCAAGGCCCCAACCTGTTATTAGAGCTTTAAAATAAAGCTTGCTTTATAGGATCTGTGTGGGTGGAGCGGGCACATGCAAGGTCTGTGTGTAAACATGTGTGTGTATGTGTGTGTGACTGTATATTTGTGTATGTGAGCAGTAAAAAGGGAGCAAGGTAGACCTCCTACCTGCTGGTGTGTTGTTCTGACTTACTCTGAATGGCCCATAGTTCAGTCAATACAAATCGTTATCATCATTAGATTAAACAAACAATAACTTTTATAAAAACACTGGATTTAAATGCAGGAAGGAGTCCAAAACCTGGAAATGAGTCGGCTATTTACCAATTCTGATTCCCTCGTCTGGAAGTCAACAGTTGGAGAACTGGTTTTTGATTAAAGGCCTAAAGTGAGGCGTGGTGGTTAACACAAGATTAAGAGATTTTAATGTTTTGGTCTATGACATAAATTAAGTCAGTAAATAACCCACTGTGACATCAAAACTGTGCCTGCTAGAAAATGAGACTACTACACCTAATCCCTTCAGGTTGAATGCAACAACTTTATTATTTGATTTTAAGTTAATGTTGTGTTTTTCCATTTCCATTAATGCAAATTTAAGCATCCTGCAAAGGCATCGGCTAAAGACAGTTCGCCTATACTCGCTGACATAACTCTATAGTTTTAAAACACAGCTAATGTCCATTATTCATACCATTGTAGACAAGTCATTTGAACATTTTCTAATGCAGCATCAAGTAATCCAAAATACAACAGCAGCCCATTACACTTGTGGTGTCTTTTTTTAGGAAATATTTCCCAAAGTCCATTGGCTACTCTCAACTCCACTGAGAGTGAATCAATCACTGGAGCGCTCATGCCAAGCCAGTGTCCTTATTCATTCAGCCACTGAATTTCTCTGTCTTTATTGCACGACTTTAAATCCTGCGTGTGTCTGTGTGCCAGGTATTACGAGTGCGAGCTCCAACGCAGCTGCTCCGACCAACTCTGCTGCTTCTGACTTTAACAAGCTGCTTTAATGAGCTCCCGTCCTGCAACACACTCGGCTGCCCGCATACTCAAATATACACAGTCACAGGAAAACATGCCAACTCAGGCGAGGACGCGTACAGACTTTCATAGCTGTAACATGCAAATAAACAGTGATGCCCATCCTGCATGAACAGACGCACACACTAAGACGTTAACAAATAGAAAAAGTTACCCAGCATGCACAGCGGCTTAGTCTAGCCTTTAAGGACAGCCTCAATGTGTTGCTGCTTTTCACTGGTGGTGTTAACTGACATCTCTGGGCCAACGCAGACCCCAAGCCAAACCATGAAAGAGATTTTTAGTTTTATCCAAATGTCAAAAAATCATAATGATTCCAAGCCGTAAATTGCCTATCCTGTGTAAAAAGTTTTTTAAAAGTTTTACAGCAAAGGGACCTGACGACATCACCTGCCCCAGTCACAGTTTCTCTCAGTACCATCACACAATCTCTTCCAAAGGCCTCCTATTTCCTAAATAAGCACACACATAAGCCTTGTAAATTAAATCCAAGAGATAAACAGCAGTTAAAGCAAGGGACAGAATGTTCAAGATACAACAAAAAGACGTCCGAAAATTTAAAATAATGTGTGACAGCTTTCTTCCGTGTGAGCAGTGAACGCAGCGCATGACAACTCATCCTTTTCAGTAATTGAAATTGAAATGAAATGTAGCACTTTCCTATGTTTTTACTTTTTAAACAGAGAACACATGGTTTCTTTTGTGAAATGACGTTCAATTTAGCCAACAGCAAGGAGGACACTCTCAGCTGCCTGGAGATGTCCATCCAACACACTTTTTGAGGGTTCTTGTTGTGAAATGAGAATCAGCTGTATCATACATGTTTTGTCTTTCTTAATTGTCTGTATTTTGTTTACTTTCTTAAACTTCTTCAATACGCCCTGCGTTCTGTGCATGTAAGAGCTTATGGCTTACCCGGCTTTAAAGCTACACTCTTTCCCAAATGACTCCTCTTTTGGAACCAGAAATTAGTTATCATTGTAGCACTTCAGGTTCCCTCATCTCAAAGTACTTTTTGATTAGATTCCCAAAATTAGGACTGCAGTTTAAAACAAACTTACAAGATTTTCCCGTTTTGTTGCTCACCATAAAATACCTCAGTTAACGGGTACTGGAGAACGTCTGAAGCTTTCACGTTTGTTTAAAACATTGGTTGCTAATAAGTGGCTAAATGACACTACTAAACACAATGACCCGGAACATTAGCCTCCTTTAGCTTAGCGATGGTGACGTGAAGTCATGCGACCGTGATGTTATTCGTTTAAAGTATATCCCTTAAGCTTTTTACATCTGGGGATTGCATTTATGTGTTTTCCAAAGATCCTTTTTTCTACAATGTTGCAAATCTAATGGAACAATTATTTTGTTGTCGAGGGGCCCTTGCGATACTAACTTCTGTCTCGGCCTGCAGAAAAACATAAAGATAACAGTCTCCTTCAGACTTTGAAAACAGAGTAGCAAACCAATTGTCCTTGTCCTACTGCTGCCCCTGCTCCTCTCCCAGAATGCTTCATTGCTATGACAACCGGCCCGTTGTGTTAGTGTGTCCTTGGCGCAGGGGAGGCTCCGCTTTAACAGGGCCGACACTTTAAACATTAACGGCTGGCCTGTGAAGCTGAACCTTAAAACACATCAAAAACACATACTATAGTCACACACACATACAGTCCCTGCAGTGCTGAGTCATATTTACAACAGGAGCAACAGAGCCGATCTGCCTGTCCTCGCTTTAAGAACCCACTGAAATACAACCCTCTGTCACCAAACAGGAAATAGGACTAATCCAAAGCCCTGGTAAGAGAGGAAGCCTACCAAACCTCTCCTTAGTGTAAGTGAGACAGAGAGTGAGACAGGGAGAGAGCCAGCTCACTGCCAGCTTGGCGTTTCCCCCTGCGGCTGATTAGCCTTTCACGCAAGCCTCTGCGAGATGGATTTGGACGTTTAATCAATTTGCTGCGAATGTTCATGTGGTTCAGTGGAACGGGGATGAATAGGAAAAACAATTTTTTTTGGAAAAGGGTTTCTCGTTTTGTTTCTCTTAAGGTCCCTACACACCATTCTGATACCAAAGAACACGTCCCGATGGACCCGACTGTTGTGT